GAAGGATGGAAGGCTGAGTCAACCCTGAGCCGGTGAGATTTGAACAGCCAAACTGCAGCCAGCTGAAGTAGCCTGCAGTGCTGCATTTAACCACTGCGATACTTTTAAGAAGTATCAAATAAATTACCTTGGAGATAGTATTTTTTTTTTAAAAAAGGTATATCTGTTTATGTAGTCAGTTAATTAGAAAGTCAATCTGTTTATGAACCTTTGTAAAATCCACAGAAATCTAATAACATTCTAGTTTCAGGGTTCAGTGTCAAGTGTACTTAGTCCTCTATTTAAGTGAATGAGAATTTGTGTACACTACTTTCAAATGGAGAATAAGCTTTTTATTTATTTTGTGAGCCTCTTAAAACTGCAGGGAGACAATATTCAATGGATGAAGAGAAAACAAAATACAATGCCTTTTAAATTTTCTATCATTTAGTTTAGAACGTTAATTTAAATCCAGCAAATTGTCTATTCTTGTAGATTTTGTTCATTTTCTATGGAGGGAACATTCCATAGAAAGCAATTTCTACCTCAACTAATAGTCAGCAAGGAAGCTTCTTGCTTTTGCCATCTGGAACCTACATTTATTTTCCATAAAAATATGTATATATTTCTCTATAATTGCTTGAAGTGTAAACTAAATTTTAGTTTAAAATACAAAATATAAATATGTTTTGTTTTTCCCCTGCAATATAAACATGGAAATTCATAAGCTGCATAAATCAAGAAAATCCAAATTACCATATAAACAACATCTCCAATCTTTATTTCATAGTTATAATTACTTTAAAAATTGAATTATACTTTATATACATTCCACTTTCCATTGTTAGCCAGGAAATACAGAATTATATTTTCAAGATAAACCGTTGTTATTCAGCTGATTCAGCTGGTCAATACTATCTGTTATATACTATAAATGCTTTGATTCATTATCTCGCAGAAATTCTTTCTCTCCCCACTAAAGAATTACTTTTCAGTGAAAAGCCAAAGAAATAAAATCCAGATTCTTCCTTTTAAACAATCCAGCTGTAGAATATGCATGTATCTTTCAAAACAACAGCAATACTGCATTTGTTTTTGCTAGGATGGCATTGTTACAGGTGAACGAAAAAAGCAGCTGCATACATACTACTCTAACAAGAAACCTTCATTCTGAAAGCTCCTTTGATTTACAGTGGAAAATCACTTAATTCTGCAAGCTGACAAAAACTGTATTGAAACTGAGTTGAGGGATTTCAAAGTGAAAAATAATAAACTGATTCTGAGAATTTTAAATAATTTTACAATCACGTTCTACAGCAAAATTCAAAAATAAAATTTATTTTAAATGCATGTAAAATGTTCCACTAATTTCAGAGAAATTACTTCCATGTTGTATGCACTTAAAAATCAAGTAGTATCACTGAAAAATGGTCATCCTATGCAGAAAACAAAGTCATCTTTAAAAATTCCACCGAAGCAGTCAAGGTTTTTAAGAAGGTTGTTAGGAGCACAAAAATATATTATTTTGTTTGTTCCTTTTTACTGCTTAGGTAAAAAGAAAAAAACAATAATAGCTATTAGATCATGTGCTTGTTCATACATGATACTTTCAAGTACATTATTTCTGAGTCAGTCTTTCTATTCCTTCTCATTCGTTTTAAATAGAACATAGTCTTCAATGTGTTACTGAAGGATTGAAGCTATATATCAACAGATATTTATAAAATGGTGAAAAGAGTCATTTTTTCCATTTTCTTCTTACAGCCAACAAGATTTTAAGTCTGTTCCGAGTGTTATTTTGTTGTACAGTTTGTTATTACAGAATAAAATCCATACACCTGCTTTTGTTTAGAATGTCACCAAAGCATGTTATTCATCATTGTCTGCAAAGAAAGATTTTAAAATATTTAATTATGGGAAAAACAATTTTTAGCAAACAGACTTTCAAAACTGCTAATCTAGTAAAAGACAACAAGCACTACTCTCTAAGAAATAATGAAAAAAGTACTAAATAAATAAGAAATCTTCTATTTTTATATTTCAGTTAAAGTTTTCTTAATTTAATTTTTAATTTTACCATGATTCATGTTGTTTTATATATTAAAGTTTTAGAGACATATACTTCACTTATATATAAGTATAATATTTATTGTCATTGTACTTAAATACAATGAAATTGGTTTTAACCTCACTGGTGCAAAATTATAGCAGAAACGAAAAAAGAAAAAAAAGAAAAAAACTAGCGTGTGCATGGAGTGATTGTGGTTNCAATCAACCAATGGAACAGCTTGCTTTCAGAAGTTGTGGGAGCTTCATAACTTGAGACTTTCAAGAAGAGATTGGACTGCCATTTGTCAGAAATGGAGTGGAGATCAAGGACATGCCATCCCGCAACATTGATGAGAAAATGAGCAGAGGGCCCAGGGGAAAGCAACACTAACAATAATCCCTGATAAGCGGCCCAGTCACACTGGTGACAGTCCTCATGAAACTAATAATCCAATCCTTGGGATGTAAAGCCAATCTACCCACCCTTCTGGACTCGAGTTGTACCAGATGTTCGATCAACCCTGCCCTAGTGAAAAAATTCGGGATCAGACCTAAGCAATTCAAAGTCCCAGTGGCATTTTGTCAGCTGGTCAGGTCCATGGCGGGAGACATCCTGGCCACATTTGTCACCGAGTTGGTAGAAATGGGGATGGGGGGCTAACTAGAGCCCCCAGAATGGAAAGACCCCTAGTTTTACTGATGGCCTGGCTCAAGAAGTGGAACCCTTATGTGAACTGGAAAAGGAGAATGTTGAAAATCTGGTAGACTAGCCCATCAGGGGCCCTGGCAAATGAGCAGTGAAACCAAAGTATTAAGTGGTGACATTGGCTATTGGCATGTGAACAAGGGAAAACTCCTTCCCTCAGTATAGTATGAATTTTACAGAGAATGGCAGGCAGTAGTTCTAAGATGGCTGTGATACATTAACACAATTTGGGCAAGGCAAAACTATGTACAAGCAGGATTTCCTCCAGGCTGACTAAGACCAAATTATTACATGCAGAATTTCTATATTTTATTTTCCTTTGAAATATTTAAAATATAAATTTATGATCATGGAAAATTAGGCAGCAAAATAATACATATATTCATAGTGTTCATTTGCAATCTAGACACATATCATTCCCTGCCCAAGGATTCAGCAACTGACAATAAAGATTGTATGAGTTGCTAAGATGCATGTAAATTGTTTAATGTTTTCTTTCCTTGTAAGTAGCAATAGCAATAGCAGTTAGACTTATATACTGCTTCATAGGGCTTTCAGCCCTCTCTAAGCGGTTTACAGAGTCAGCATATTGCCCCCAACAACAATCCAGGTCCTCATTTTATCTTGATGGTATCCCTCTGTTAATGCAATTTAGGATTGGCTTT